TATGAACTGGCTAGAAACAACGAAACCACAGTTAATTCTGTCTGACTAACAGGCACCACTGTTTGACCTCCACCATTAATGTCATTTCATATCGTTCCCGACTATTGTCCTATCTCGCATACTATCATGAAGCTTAGAACTTCAGCATACATATTTATGTAACATAAATGCCATAAAAGCCTTGACTAGTAATCATGACCACTATCAAACCAAATTTTTTAGATATAACAGACTTTACCGTGAAATACATTTATTTCATGAATAATCCCCATCAAGGCAATAATGAAAACAAAACATGTAGTTCAGCGAAGAGTTCTTTTCATTGGTCAATTCATTTTCTTAGCTGTAATATCACAAATATACATATGAGTTATTTTCTATGAATGTGTACATTAAGTTTGTCAAACAAAAATAGACAATTGGTTATGGTTATTTTAACTAAACAGGTGAGATTGGTAATTTGAGTTACCTAATACAAAATCAGTCAAGAAAATTAGGTGTTAATGAAATTAGGCTAGTATCATAGGTGATGAGTTGTCACAAACAGTTGTTAGAAAAGAAGTTATGTAATAATATGAATAGTTTGATGAGTGAGTTTTACTCAGGATACGCATAGGAACAAGGCGGAGAATACGAAATTACGTTAGAGTTCTAAATGAATACGAGAATTATACGCAATTAGAGAAACAGGCAAAACACCAAATTAAGTCATCAAAATCAACAAAGTTGTTACCATGACAATAAAAGTGGTTGGGTAATTCCCTTTTATATGCATAGCTCCAGTTTTTCTATGCGAATGGCCAGAGCTCCAGCGATACCAAGAAGACGAAATCGTATTGCCTTTGGTTAGTTATTCGTGACTCTGTAGATTACTTTGAAGCAGGAGGCATTTGTTGAGATGGAATGACCAGGGTTAACTAGGTGTTCAATTATCACACTCCGTATTCCACCACTATCGCCTTTTCGCAACCATGCTGGATAGTGTTCATGAATCCTCTTGGACAGTGTTCACGTTGAACGACAGATGTACCTGGCTCCACAACAGCAGGTGAACTGAAGTGGTCAGATGCGGGATCTTGTCCTTGAGGCTTCCGCAGATCAGTGGGAGATTTGAGAACACTATTTTTAGTGTGACTGCAAAGAATGTTCTTCTCACAGATGATGTGATCCTTCTCTTTGAAGAATATCGCTTGCTAAATCTCCCTTGAAATCCAAGTTCATGCAGAGTTTCTTTTTAGGCGCAAGTGAAGTTTCATTTCTTCAAATTCTTTGTTTGATATTTTTGTCAGTGAATCTTGGTGGGTGGGTATCCATTTTGAATGAAGATATCTCTCAAAAGATCTTATTCTATTTCTATAACATCAGGACTGTAGATACGTCGGATGCGGGTGGCAAGTTATTTGATTAAATTCCGCTTGTTGAATGGGTACCCAACTACACAAGCATGCTAACTGACCATTCCAAGTACCATTTCGATCTTCTTAAGTTTGCATCAGTTCTTGTTATTAGTTCCACATCAAGAAAGAAAGGGAATTTCTGGTTCGTTTTCGATTTAAGAGTGAATTTTATTGCTGGATGGCAACAGCTAAATGTCTTCAGCAGTAGTTTGGGTCGTTGTTGTTGTACACACACACACACATACAAAATAACACACATATATTTCCAATTTTCAGCCTAGTAAATGAATTGGCTGACGAAAAGTGACTATTCTCTGAACTAAATGTTTTGTTTTTACTAATTGCATTTATAACTCAGGCTGAAAAAGGAATTGAAATGAGGCAGTAGATTTATAGTTGGTTTCAATGCTGTTATGTTGTTTGAGGTGGAAGAGAGAGAGAGAATGGCGAACTTTTCATCATCTACCTGGATGGAATCTTTAGCATTATCTTTAAGGTGAAGATAATAAAATATTTGGTACTTGACATACAAAAAACAATGGCAGTGAGTCAGAGTCAGACTTATAAAATGTGCTGGTTTTCAGATATAAACAGCTTTATGAAATAATATACCGGAAGGGGTAGACGCTGCGCAACCTATTGAATAAAATCTAGGCACACCTAAATATCTGTTCTTCACTTTGGCGTAGGATAATAAGGTGATGCTCGCTAGTAAGGAACCACTAAAGGTTTGCCAATAGGATTAGACAATGTTTTTGTAAACCTTCCAGTCCTAAGTGAGATTTTTAGCTCAGCAAGGATGGCTTTAATGTTCTCTAAGCTACTTTCAGTATGAAGATGGCACTGAATGCAGTCATCCATTAGCATGCAATGAAAGTTTCATAATTAAACCATTCGAAATAGAAGATGAAACTTGCTTAATGTTAGTTCTCTGATCTTTTCCATTTGATCGCAACTATTTCATCAACAAGCTTATTAGTGATAGCTTCAACAGCTAGGTACACTAATGGACATCCAACAAAATTTTGGATTAAAGGATTCGCATCATGAGCTGACTTTGGTTAGATGACTAATGGAAAACCATCTGGGAGTACTAGACAACCGTTTCGTCCTAGTTACGGACCTTCACAATACGCCTCCGCTGATTGTTGTTCGAACCCAGGACACTCTAATTAGAAGGCTAGCGATTGGCCTTATTCAGGTGGTTAGTTACCTGGGTTCTAGTTGAGAGTCGTGACCAGTGAAATACAGCAGGTTGGGCATGAAGACTGTTGCTCTTCGAAGAAGGCATTGCTAGTCAGTCACTGTATGTTGTGAATTGTCAGAAGTTAGAATTCATGGACTGTCGATTGTAGTGGGTCCCAACTGGCTTAATGGTCTACAAGCTCGCTTGCCTTGTAACCGGAAGGTCCTAGTTTCAAAGCTTGGTGGTGGATGTGCACTGATGAAAGGTTCGAAACTAGGGTAATGAAGCAACCGACTGTCCAGTACTCCTAGCTGGTTTTCCAATGGTTCCCTAACTGATGTCAGCTCATGATGAAATCCTGAAACCAATCGAACTAAATCCCTATGAAACCAATATTTTAAAATAAAAAATACTCCAACAGCTGTTGCTGCCATTGCTTCTGCGCTTGAAATAATAGGCTCTGAGCAAACGTGATCACACACTGACGTGCAGTAACACCCAAGTGAGGATTCCTGAAAGGGGGAGGAGACATCCGCTCTGTGCTCTACCATTACTTTCAATAAACATAACTTGTCAAAGTGGAAAGAAGATTTGACAAAAAACAGCTCTGGTATGTCAGCAGATATCAGAAAAGTTTAACTGGTGTAGAATGAATAGCAACCGGATGTACTCCGTACAGTGGAGGTCCTTACTAACCAAGTCACTATGAGATACTACCTATCAAATAATATAAAAGTGATCTTAGTCCGTGGCACAACGGTTAGGACTCTTGTCGACCATGTACATGATCCGCGGTTCAATCCTCTGCCAACGCACACCTGATATCAAGTGGTAAACCTGAGAAATTCAGGCTACCGATATCACATGCTGAAAATTCCATACTTGTAGCAAAACTAAGGTATGGAATCAAGGTTTAATAATAAAAATAAAAATAAAATAAATTTTTCAAGCGTTGTTGTGTAAGGATTAGATTTGATTTCTCAAGTTTGACCACAGATTGATATCACAGTCAGAAAACCATTGAAAACCAGTACTGGAGTTCTGGTCAGTTGTTTTATCCTAGTTTGGGAATCATCGGCAGTATGAACTCACATGGGATAAAACTCAAAACTAGGATCAAATAGCTGTCCAGTACTCCTTGGTTTTCAAATGTGCTCTAAATTATATCAATCCGTGGTCAAAGCATATATATATATATATATATATATATATATATATATATATGAATTCGTGAACTCATTAAGCTGAACTCCATTATGAATAAGATTTTATTTTGATAAGTCACACAGTGTTACACAGTCATATTAACTGATGACCACGTTTCGAGCACAAACTATTGCCACTCATAGTCATATCAAGCTACTCACTAACACAACGTTTTTCCTTCATTTATATACATGTGTGTGGAAGTGACCAGATATTTGAATAAAAATCACTATGTGATAATGTACATTCAGAAAAAATAATATGAGTGTTATTGATGAATTACAATCAAATGGGGAATAAGACGAGTGTTTTAATAGTCATAATAAGTAACTTGTTAGAATGTTGTGATGTACGTGATTGAATTGAAATAGAATTTTGAGATTATTTATTATCCTCTTCTGATTTGACTGACTTGTGGTAATGATATCTTCCATACACATCTCTGGTATTTGCATTGAGTCATTTCTGTTCCATGTATTGGGTGTAGATTATTCGATGAACCAGGATTCAGTAATCAATCTCTCTCTCCACCTACATGTTTATTACTTCTTAGAATTTTAACCCTCTACCACCCTATTGTGTGGTTGTATGTTAATGCAAGTAGTTGAATTGCTGAGCTTGTTTCTAAATTACTTATCTTCTCGGGGTCAAGCATTCTTGCCTTAGTTAAATTCTTATGTTCCGACCATCTGTTACCCCTGATCTGCTAATTTGACCTATATAGTTGACCTCACATTCATTGAAATGATATTTTTTAAATCATATTATTTTGTTCAATTGGGTCCACTGGGTTTTTTAGCCTACAGAGCTTTTCTCTGAGTGAGTTTGTAGGAGAGTTTGAATGCCACACTCGTCTTATTTCCCATCTGATTGTAATTGGTCAATAACACTCATATTATTATTTCTGAATGTACATTATCACAAAGTGAATTTTATTGCAATATCTGGTCACTTCCACACATGTATATAAATGAAGGAAAAACTTGTGTGAGTGGTGCTTTGATATGATTATGAATGGCGATAGTTTGTGCTCGAAACGTGGTCATCAGTTAATATTACTGTATAACATCACCGTGTGACTTATCAAAATAAAATCTTATCCATACTGGAGTTATGCTCTACCAAAGTGCTCAAGTAATATACTTATATCTCAATAAGCTTATTTGACGTAATCTTCTTATATTTGACTTATTTTACTGATTTTTTTCAAGATCCAACCTCAATCCATCCATCTACACAGAACTACTTAAGGTATTGAATATCATTGGAATAGTAAGTTTAAAATAGTGATTGTCCATTGTTTTCTACTGACATGTAATAATATATATATATATATATATATATATATATAATTACATTGGTAAAACGTCTATCCGGATAAGAACTTAAAACAAGAAACAATTATTCCAATTTCAGTTGAACTCCTCCTCAGATGGTGTAGGTTTTAGTATGTAATGAATATTTTTTTAATAACTTGGAATTTGAACTTTCTTTTTATGTGACTTATTCAATTCGTTATTCAGTATCGTTGTCAGTAGTGCAGACACATTCATTCCTATTTTGATCACTACAGCAAGAGAAAAAAAGTAGGAATAGTGTAAGGTAAATTTTGTAGTGTGCGTCGGTGGCTTAACAGCAGAGCGCTTGCCGACCATACTCGTGGTTTGGGGTTCCACTCCCAGTCGGCGCACACTTAACAGGTTACAATCCTGACAAAGAGGAAGGGTTGGGTGTGGGGCTAGCAAACCCACTGTGTTAAAAAACCACTGCACCTGAAACTTTAAAAGTCAAACATGAAGCCCTGTGTTCCTCCTCAGGTGAATACTCCGCATTTAATAATAATATATGTATATTGTTAGAAATACGTTGGGAGGAACATCACCTATAAGTAAACAAAGTACATTTCATCCCATCATGTAAAAGAACAAGTGTGAATGTTTTTCAGGTGATATATACGGATAGGAAAGTGGCTGGGAGTATGAGAGACTACAATGCATTATTGTTCAGTCACATCATTTGAATAAACGATGAGTAATTAGAGAAAGAATTAAGATATGTCAACAATCACAAACTGAGGATTAGTAATTAAATGAACTAAGACAAGGGAATTCTGGAAATCTTCGTCACTCAGCCAGCATCAACAACAAAATTCAGTCGGATTTTCAACACAAACACGTCAAGTCAGTCAGTTCTTCTATACGGATTAGAAACTTGGCGGGCGGTTCACAAAGAATATTTCCAACAGCCTGTTGCAGACCTTCATCAACAACTGTCTTCTCTGTATACTAAAGATCAGATGGCCGGGCCGGAAAGAATCACCAATAAGAAACTATGGGAAGGAACAAACGAAACAAGAACCAATCGTCCAACAAATATTATGCATGAGAAGGTGGAGATGGATTGGACACTCACTCGCTGAGGAGGCCGCTGTGTGACGTCGCGCGCGCGTCAGGCCATTGCTCGAGTGGACCCTGAAAGGGAAGCGGCGAGTGGATCTTCAGTGCAAGTGTGACATGGAGGAGATCGTGTGAAGAAGAGTTGAAACAGTATAGACTAACACGGATGCAGGTGAAAAGTACAGCAGAAGACAGAAGCAAATGGGGAGGTGCAGCTGAAGCCCTATGTTCCACTAGGAATCCAAGGGGACAATAATAATAATAATAAAGATAAGGGAATTGACAAAGGATAGTTTAGATTGAGTGAATAATTATAATAATAATAGGAGATGGAATAAAATATCAGTAATATCACCTAGGACGTAAAGGATACTGCCGTGGTAGATTCAGATTGACCACCATTTTTTTTGTACGCAGAACGCCGGGTTTATATACTTTAATTACAGAAGCCTCTGCAATCGCAAGCATCTTTCTGTTAGTTTTGTCCCCTGACAACACCAAATCACTTGATAGCGTTAATATCATATCCGTGGTCTGACTATAGGATGCTTCTCTGGTGAACTTTCTAGTCTGACTTCAACTTTTTTCCCAACCACTTGTGTGAATCCTCCATCATGCAAGAAGAAAGTTACCTTTCCGTACTACTTATCTATTTGCTTCAATCGACAAGCGCAGTCAGACAGGAATTGGCAGTTTGAAGTGTTGAGGATTGGCGACCTGTTTCTCACAGATTGTTGAAACATTTTCTTGGTGATGGTAAGGAAGATGAGTTTTGCAGCATAATAAGTCCCCCTGATAGCTTTATCAAGTATTGTTCATTTGATTACTTGCAAAATGATATATATATATATATATATATATATATATATGTTCATGGATCATTCCCATTCAGGTATTAATGAAAACAAAACACGTAGTTCAGCGAAGAGTCTCTTTTCGCCGACGAATCCATTTTCTTAGCTGTATAATCGCAAATGCATACATATGAGTTATTTTGCATGCATGTTTACATTAAGTTTGTCAAACAAAATTACAATTGGTTATGGTTGAAGAGAGGGAATCCACGAAATAAAAACGAGGTCATATGATCCTTTATGAAAATATGTGTTCGTTCTTTCTTTATTCAATCTAATAAAGGGAACCGGCTGCATGATACATGAACGAAGGTTAAACAAGTAGACTGATTGATGTAATAGACAATTGACAAGAATGAGTAGAACTCAACTTAAAGTGCGACGGGTCGAATTAGGATCATTGTCATAAAGAGTAGAAATAGGCTAGTGGAAACAGACAAGCAAAACAAAATGAAATTAAGATTACCAAATTTATGTATCGCATGTTGAGGAAAATTTACCTCCACTGTAAGCTCAATAACCTAGCAAACATCTCCAAAGTACTCAGAGTTCAGGGTTTAACATGCTAATTAGCATAGATTCTGTGGTTTGAAACGGTCTCACTACAATTTCCGACACAATTATGTGACGCGATTAGCGATTATCTGGCTAATCCATGAGTTCTGATAAGAAACTCTTTGATTTTGATAAGCAGTGTGTTATATATTGCCAGACTGCTAATTCAGCTGGTGTACATTACTGAATAAACTTACACTAAGTTAGACAAATTCTAAACATCAAAATATATCAATGGTTCAAAACCAGCCGACCTCGAGTTATCCTTGTAGACAGCGATTATGACAATTTTAAAAACACCCTAAAAACTACTCAGATCTGAAACTTTTCAGTTGTACGCACAAACTAAACCTTATGACCACTCTGATCTACCAAGTCAGCTATGATTACAAATACTCTCTGACCACATTGGCCGACGGCCCTGTTGTAACGATAGAAGACAAGGGCAAGGCAACCGATCGTTTATTGAGAAAATCAACAAATATTTATAGTAAATATCCCCATAGTAAAACTTAGAACAACACATTTAAGCGAACAATATTGTTTTCAATTAGATCTCATCACGCTTAACTCTAATATATATGAGTTTACAAATAAAAATTCAAATATAAACCAATCATGGTGTTTTGTCTATAGGATAATACGATGGTGAATATAAATTGTGCAATCAGTCATAATAGTGGTAATGATAATATTAATAATATTAGTAATAATAATAATAATGGTCTTATCAATAATAAGGATGAAAAAATGAGGCAATCTGTGATAACACGAATAATGAAAAACAGTATGATTAAACAAACAACAGGTGGAAGCAGTCGATAAAGGCTAGTAAAAAGAAATGAACCGATTACGTAATGTTAGATTGTAAGGGAAGGAAATGAAGCACGTTTATAATGAAGATAAGATTAAGGGATAATAAAAAAGGGGTTGGAAATATAAATAAGGGGTGGTGTAGAAGTCTTTAGTTGTTTATGTCTTATCAGGTCAAGGAAGGGCAATACACACACTTCCTTAGTTACGTGCCCATTAAATATAAAAGGGATGTTGTAAAATGTCTCGCAAGCAGAGCAAGGAAGATATGCACGGAGGACCTCTTACAAAAGGAATTTGAATATATTCACGATTCCTTGACGGAGATGGGTTATCCGAATAGTTTCATAAAGAAACATATGAAACCATCAGAGAAGAAACCTGTGACTCTGACTGCACATAAGTAACCTCTGTTTATTAAGTTACAATTTAATGGGGACTTATCTAGTGAGATTCTGTTCCAAAGACTTTCAAGTAGCGTGCGTAGAACATTTTACGCAGCACTCCTATGTTTGTCATTCTCTAGCCGACGAATGATTGGGACGCAAACGAAGGATAAGCTTGACAGTTTTGCCACATCTATGCGTATTTATCAATTCAACTGCACCTGCGGTGACAGTTATATTGGGCGTACTACTAGACAGCTTAGCCAACCAACGTGTTAGTGAACATCTCCCATCGTGGTTTGGCAAAGGACGGACAAAAACAATCCGTAGCTCAATTTTGTCACATTTAATTGATAGTGGTCATGTAGTCGATAAAACAAGAGCCTTCAAAGTAATTCATCGTATCCCACCCAATCTTTCAAATAGACTTCGTATTCGTCTACTGCACACAACTGAGGCGATAGGCATTCGAACTATTAAACCTAAACTATGCATTCAAAAGAAGTTCGTACAGCCATTATCCCTCCCGTGGCCTAATAAGACATAACCAACGAAAGACTTCTACACCACTCCTTATTTATATTTCCAACCCCTTTCTTATCATCCTTTAATCTTATCTTCATTATAAACGTGCTTCATTTCCTTCCCTTACAATCTAACATTACGTAATCGGTTCATTTCTTTTTACTAGCCTTTATCGACTGCTTCCACCTGTTGTTTGTTTAATCATACTGTTTTTCATTATTCGTGTTATCACAGATTGCCTCATTTTTTCATCCTTATTATTGATAAGACCATTATTATTATTATTATTACTATTATTAATATTTTCATTACCACTATTATGACTGATTGCACAATTTATATTCACCATCGTATTATCCTATAGACAAAACACCATGATTGGTTTATATTTGAATTTTTATTTGTAAACGTATATATATATATTAGAGTTAAGCGTGATGAGATCTAATTGAAAACAATATTGTTCGCTTAAATGTGTTGTTCTAAATATTTATAGATTTTTATATACATTATTATTAGCTTTATTGTTAGCAGAGAAGCAACGTCTTCTGATTGGTTGTTTTCTTGCTGAAGGTTATTCTGTCACCTCCGTGTTGCTATTTCTTAGACAGTCGGTTGATATATCTGCTAATCGCATACGCCCACACCAAGTCTGCTTTGATTGGTTGTTGACTTTATCTTGGTTCTTGTTTCTTTTTCTGATGACCCTGATTTGAGAAACTAAACATTGATGTATATTGCTGTCTACCGATTCTGGTTAGCAGACAGCTCTCACCACACTGTTTTATGTTGCAAATCAGCAAAACTTGGAGTTCGTGGACCATAAGGTTTCTTCCCATTGACTGGCTGACTAAATGGTCTAAGGCTCACCTCGTACCTTGAAGGTTCTTCGTTCTTTCCTCAATGAAGTTTTCCATCTGGCTGTTTTTTAGCATAGAACTTTGCACCAATGTGCGGCAGTTCAAGTTGCCACACTCACTTCATGTAGCACGCAAAGCAAGAGAAGAAAGTAAAAAGGAATGCATAATAGAGACAGTGAACAGAGACGTGAAACAAAGGAATAGTAATAACGAAAAACAATATAGTTTCATTGGAAATCATAATTCGCAAGGATTGGATGCATCTGCACTAGCCATTGAGAATGATTTTGAGCCATATCACCAATTGTCTCTAGCCACCACTGGTTTTTACCGTCCCAAGGACCTCAACCAGGAAGTCTACACCTTCCTACATGGATTAAACTAACTGTTGTGGATTTTCTTGACTGATGAAGCCATGTTTTGGTTTGACTACGACATGCTTACTCTTTTCCAGCTTGACCCCATGTCAGCTAACATTGCCCGTGGTGGAAGCCAATCGCTAGGTATGTGTAACACATATCCTTACAATCGCACACGATGTAATTTCACAGCCTCGTCGATTGATTTCCCCTCGCACCTACTTATCACTACACGCCTAACCTAAATATTGCTCACCTTATTATACCACCTCACACTGGAGATAGAACGCTGGCACCTACGATCGAAGACAACTAATGTTTTCATGTCCTCCACCCTCATTGGCCATGTCTCACTCACAGCCATAAAAGGGGACGGAGCAGACTTCTGAGCAGTACACCCGCCCTTCGGTCGACAGGTAGCCGGATATCACGTCTACGCCAGAGACGGCGTAAACTGGCTTATGCAAAACTAGTCCCCTGTATTCGTACTGAGATCTCGTCAGAGATTAACCCGTTGGGGCTGATGGTACTTCCCAAATAGGTGAAGTGGTAAAAGTGCTTTACCACTTAACTCCCTATTTCTAAACTAGGAGTCAGTGTAGTCCAGTCCTGTAACAATGAACTAGTGATCGTTGCGTGCTTTGAAGAGTCTTAAAGAAGGACGAAACAACTGTTTTTACTTTACCCTAGTCCTCAATGGTTTTCTAACTGAGAATAGTTCATGATCAACTTGAACAAATATTTGATGAAAACTATTCAGTATATTTGAACTATTGTTCTTTTTGTTATTCTTTTTTGTTGACAAATTTAGGTATTCGGTCTGACTTTTACAGTTATTGGCAGTTTATCACTTGTGCCAGATAGTTTAATTATTCATTTTATTGAAAAAATCGGACTCGGTGAAATATTCAAATCCGAGGCGAAAAAGAAAGTTTTTTCCGGTTTCTTAGGATTCGTAAGTAAGTTTTGTTTTTTTATTCTTTTGATTTGCCGTTCTTATCGAAATGGTGTGTCACTGAAGTGGTCAAAGATCTTTCAATAGATTTAGATTCATTCTATTTGATTGTCAATTGCCCCAGGATATCTTGGTCGCATTCCAGTTGAGATGTTTGATCGGATTTCCTAAACGGCTTGGGGTTAATTTCGAATTAACATTAAGTTCTGTGGGAACATCTGATGTTCTAAACAAACGTTCTCCCTTTGCTAACCCAATCGGATGGTGTTCCCTAGAACGTCTTACAAGCGACATACGCTACGGCCAATGTTCCCCTCTCCACACGAGGAAGGGAAGTAGAATGTGGCTTCTGATGTGGTTCAATGCAGTGGCATGTCTTTCACTTGTTGGCTAAAGAAAATTTTATCTACAGACTGGCAGCGAAGTGTTTTATTGAGAGATTCTGAATGTCGTTTCTGGAAGATTTCTGCCCGAGTACCACTTTTAACGTCGAGATTCAGAGGAAGAAAAAATCTTTTTCGAGGCGGTATGGGCCTACTTAACAGCCTTCTTAGATCTCCGGTTTTTTCAAGGCCCTGTACAACGTTCGACCGTGCTTCTCAAGATGAGTGAAATGAAGACATCTAGACATACCTGAATCATTAGTGCGTCGGTGGCACAGAGGTTAGGACCGGGATTAGACCCCCTGCCGACGCATACCTGATATATATATGGTCGGACTGCGAAATTCGGGCTACCGATATGACATGCTGAAAATTCCATATGTGTACCAAAAAATACGGTGTGGAATCAAGCTGTATTAAAAAAATCAAAAAAAGTTAGAGATCAGAAACTTGGCGGGTCACAAAGAATATTTCCAACAGCCTGTTGCAAACCTTTATCGACAACTGTCTTCACTCTATACTCAAGATCAGATAGCTGGCCCGGAAAGAATCACCAACAAGAAACTATGGGAATAAACCAACGGACGAGAGCCGATCGCCCAACAAATATGAAAGAGAAAGTAGAGATGGATTGGACGCTCGCTGAGGAGGCCGCTGTGTGACATCGCGCGTCAGGCCATTGCTGGAGTGGAACACGAAAGGGAGGCAGCGAGTGGAACGTCGGCGCAAGGGTGACATGGAGGAGATCATGTGAAGAGGAGTTGAAACAGTATGGACTAACACGGATGCAGGTGAAAAGTACAGCAGAAGACAGAAGCAAGTGGAGACGTGCACTGAAGCCTATGTTCCACTAGGAACCCAAGAGAACAACAATAATAATAGTCATTCTCCATGTTTGTACAAGATAGTCGGCTGCCATGTGTCTTGCAAGGGATCAGACGAGTCAATTGTAAAAAATTCCTGTCTGAAGTAACATATTAACTTCTCTCAATGAAGCACTGAATGACGTGAATGTGAATTTATGCGCGAACACAAGTTACTTCGCGCCTTGCTAATACGCCATCTTTGACAGGTGCTATTTAGCACAAATCCAATGTCCACAGTTAACTTGCTGACTACCTTCAGTCATTCAAAAAGTCTATTGCGTACAAGAACCTCCTGGACTGTTGAGTTTAATTGAGACTAACTTATGGAATTCAGTTGGCGTTAACGCTACTAACGAATAAGACAAACGATATTGATTTACTTTATGCATTTATTTCCCTTGATGAATTTGAATAAAGCAGGAACAACAGTGGTGGCGGTTTGGGCAGAATAATATGGTACCATCATTGTTTATTTCGTTGACTTCTCATCAGCTGCCTGCTTACAGACTAAATAAATTATGAGGTTGACGTACAGAAAACTTTTAACATACTTGCAAATTTCACATGTTGTCAGTTGACAGAAAGTTCCACAACTAGTGAACAGTGCTCGGAAAATAGCGCTTATATAGGTTTTACTCAGGAAGTTCAAGTTTAAACAAAATAAATGTATGCATTCAGTGGTAAAGGAGTTCCGTAATAAAGACGAGAGGTGAATAAGATACTTAGTGACTAATAAATTAGGTATTAATGTACTGAGTCCAACTGAAATCATGGAAACAAGAGACTAGCAAAATTACAGATTATGAAGAAGGAGGGGTGACGTTAAAGACAAAGATTACGTGATCAGATGAGAGAATAAAGACATGCAGTTACCAGGTTGGCAAGGAAAAACTAATAACTGCTTCTTTCTGAACACATGTAAATCTGGTTTCGAGCGTTTGATTGAAACGGCAGCGACAAACTTGAGAAGAATGGAGCTCCTTTGTCTATTGATAATTTTAAATGATTTCTTGATTTTCACCTCATGACCCGTGTCGAAAAGATGTCTGGCAACTTATAAGAGTTTGTTCCCTTGAGACGTAGGCTTTTCGGCACATGTTCAGAAAATTGGAGGTGTGCCTTTCTTTCTCTTCTCTCAATGTAACTGCTGTCACAGATACACGTAAATTTGTATGCACAGTTGAGTTAACATGAGAAAAGTGGGTATCTGTCTACTTTTGACTGCACCAAAGAGCATGTTGTTCGATGTTCGGGAACCAACTTAGCTGCAGGATAGGCTCTGGCTAGTGATGTCCTCAGTCTTCTGTTAACCGTCTCTGAATTTTTTCACCCTCAAAATCTAGTTGAATAAAGTTGAAAAAAGCCTGTCCTCATCCAAAGTGAAACCATTTAAATCATTTCACTCTTTAGTTTTATTTACGAATGGATGTTTTCTTCAATTTCTATGTATTTACCAATTGATGCTTTTGTTTTGCAGATGACTATACAACTTCTTTATTTCTAATTGGATTGACAGTGTTGTGTGTTTCAACGTTTGGACTTTTTGTAGCCGTTACAAAGAAGAGAACACTTTTAATTGTAGTATGTGATTACTTTTCATTCATTGCAACATTTTAACTGGTTTTGAGAAAAAATTAAACTAAAGTGTTTCAATATTCACTTCAATTCATTCAGCGTTCAATCTTCCATAATCACCGGATTTTGATCACCCGGAGGTTTTGCAAATAGGTCTCATACTTATGGGCAGTCTTCAGTAGTGCGAATCTGCAGTTGCAGAAGAAATGATTCCCTTCCTAAATATTCAAACCTGTTTCAGCAGATCTGCAGCAAGAAACATTGTCTTTCCGTCCGTTTTCGAAGTAGAACTTTGCACCGATGTGCACCAGTTCAAGTCGACACACTCCCTCCATGTACCACACAGAGCAAGAGAAGAAAGTAGAAGAAACGCATAATAGAGACAGTAAACAGGGTTTGAGGTTTCATTGGGTTTTATAAGTCACAAGGAGTGGATGCATCTCCACCAGTCATTGAGAACGATTTTGAGCCATATCAACAATTGTTTCCAGCCATTGGTTTTTACCGTTCCAAAGACCTCAACCAGGAAGTCTACACGTTCCTACGTGACTAGTTTCAACTAACTGTTGTGGATTTCCCTGACTGATGAAGCCATGTTTTGGTTTGATTACCACTAGCTCTTTTCAATCTAACTCTATGTCAGTTAACATCGCCTGTCATGGAAGGCGATCCCTAAGTATGTGTAACATGTATTCTAACCATCTAAGTCGATGTAGCTTCACAGCCTCCTTAATTTCTCCTCCCACCTACCTATCACTCGAAGCCTGACCTCAATATTGCTCACCCTTTAATACCACCTAATACACACGGAAAATAGATTACAGGCACCTATGACCGAAGACAGCTAGAAACATTACCTCTAAACTCGTCATGTTCATGAGTGATCTGCCATAGGGCTGTGGTAGATAGATTGACTTGTCATGACAGTGTAACTAGTATTATGTATCTAGTCCACTGGTATTGGTGCTAAATAACAAAATTCGCTCTCTATCGATGAGTTCTCAAATCATTCTTTGTTAACAGTTTGGTCTAAACTTTGGAATACCTCTGAGCGACTGGATTCAAAAGTTATGTTGTTATACTACGTGAAAAGTGATCCACAAAGGAACACTCATAGAAGATGGAAGTCACAAAAGACTGATTACTATTGTAACAACAGAAGAGAAGGGTAAGGCAACAGATCCTTCATAAAGGAAATCAAGACATATTTATAGATTTTCATGTACATTATTATAGATTATTGTTAACAGACAAACACAGTTTTCTGATTGTTTGTTTCTCCCTGAACGTTAATCTTTCCTCTCCTTGCGTCTGTTTCTTGAATGTCAGATCATCTGAATGGGGACGTAAACATTGACGTAAATTACTGTATATCAATTCATCACACTATCACCAGTGTTATTTCTAACGGTGGCAGATGGTGAAGAGCAAGAAGATGCAAATTTAGTTAAGTCGACAAGAAAGTGCTAAAAGATTTTGAGTTCGCTAGTGATTTATGCCAAATGACACACACACACATGTTCGAATACTCACAGGCGAAAATCGACTAGCTGACAAAGACACAGCAGACAGTAAAGGCGGGAATTGAAGTGAACACGAAGAAGACAGAGGTGATAAAGTAGCCTGACAACTAATGAAAACATGCGCTAATCAGCACTCAATGGGAGAAATCTATGAGAGTCACTTCTTGCCCCTTATCTAGCTGGGCAACAACGTGTCAACTATAGGAAGTACTGATGGAATATATGAGTCGGTCCGAAACTGGAATAGGAAGAGTTGAAGAGGGAGAGAGAGAGAATTTCATTAATCTGGAATCACTCCGGAGATCAACTGTGCTGAGTATAAAGAAGAAGACTGAGATTTTTACCGCTAATCTCAGGTCATTTAATTCATATGGTTCAGCGTCTTGCTGTGCTACTAAAAAGCATCTTATACAAACGTCAGACCCTAATCAATACCTGCCTTTTCCCCCTCCCCAAACTGACAGTCAGATGGCTGACCAGAAAGGATAAGCAGCGAGTAACTCTGAGAGTGAACCAGTTAAAAAAGGTATTGCACAACAAATATATACCAAAGGAAATGGAAGTGGATCTGGTACCCCCTCAGGAGACTGTCGAAGGATATTGCGTGACATGCCATCAACTGAGAAATGACTGTATGTGCGTGCGTCCAAAGCTAACATGTGGGAGAATAGGTTGGTAGGAGATGAGAGCTTGTGGATGATCAAGAAGCCGGCTAAATACCGGCCGGCAGGGAACACAAAGGAATGGAGATATATTATTGAAGCCCTATGTTCTACTTAGGGGAATAATAATAATAATTACACTTGTAATAAATGAATGATATTTCAAGAACAATGTATTACTCGGAGTCATATCAATCTACTGATAGGACTTTGTGACTTGTGCTTTTTTACATAGCCTAGCCCCCCGATGTTTTTATTCATATTCCTTACATATATATCGAAGCTAGGCGAATCACAATTTTGACTGGAAGTAATTGATGTTGGTTCACGAACACAGATTGACATGTCTCTCTTCAGCTAGCTATATTACCTTTTAGCGATTTCACCCTATTCAGCCCATCGTGTACTTACACACAAGTGGCCACAGTGCAATGACCTAGCTCATTTGTTCCAATAATCTATTTGACTGCAACCTACTAGTTAGACTTATGTAATTGTTATACCGGAGTGTTATTGATTTGCTGATTGTTTATTAACTTGACTAGAATGGGCCTCCGTTCCCCACAGTGTAGCCAGCTGGTTGCTTGTAAATATTCCTCTATACTCAGGTAGACGCTGAAGTCACATTTAATTGCGATAACAACTTTATGATACAAAATGCTGGATGTACGTCGTCAGTACATCCATGGGAATTCAAACTGTAAACATACAAACAATATCTCATTGATTGATTAATTGCATTAGTCATGACTTCACGTCTAACAACGACATATTGTCTGCCCGGAGAACAGTCGTCCTCTAGGACATAATATGGAATTTGGTAAATTATACTATTTTTTTCACCATGATCCACATGTAGAATTAAATTAAATTCCTATTACGTAAATCACTTCATGACTTGCATTTTTTTACAGTTCAAAACTTTATTATTATTCTCTTGGGTTCCTAGTGGAACATAGGGCTTCAAGTGTACGTCTCCACTTGCTTCTGTCTTCTGCTGTACTTTTCACCTGCATCCGTGTTAGTCTATACTGTTTCAACTCCTCTTCACATGATCTCCTTCATGTAACCCTTGCACCGACGTCCCACTCGCTGCCTCCCTTTCAGGTTACACTCGAGGGCCTAACGCGTGCACTTTTTGGAAATGAAAATAATTCACATCACAATATATGAACTGTTAGATACCTTGAATCGAATACCTTGAATCAAGTGAACAAACATTTTTGTATGACGCTGTTTATTACTGAGTGGTAGATATTAGTAGTTGAACACTGCTCATATCAACTTGAAAGGATTTGCTAACCAGATCGACGTGAAGGGAACTGTAGTCAAGTTACAGTTCACACTGTGTACATTTCGAATCGCGAATCTGAAGAGATGTATTACTTCCATATTGGTTTGTTTATTAGATGTATCACACAGTCACTGAAACAGTATTATTTACTGGATGACACAGTTTCGAACACAATCTATTGCTGTTCATAATCATTTCATCAATTATAGTCACACGACTTCGAAGCTTAAGTTTTATAGTTTCCTTTGTCCTCTCCTATTTGTCGTCGTTAGGGTAGTAGAATTTTCCAGACATCTGGGTGGACAGGTGTTGAATCATTCCTGTAACATGAATTCCCTCTCAGTTGATTCGATAAACAAAGCTTCTGTTATCATTCTCTCCGTTCACCCAGTTGTTACATTAGATTTTAAAACCGTCATCTTATCCCATTATTGTATGCTGTATTGTTTTGTGTAGCTGCATGCAGTGAGTGGTATAGCTGAACTATTCTCTAGATTTCTTATCTTATTCAGGTCAACCAATCTAGATTTTACCAGGTTTTATGTCCGCCTAGTCTGACTGACTGCACCTGTTCTGCTAGTATGACCTATGTATTTTTTAACCTCACAGTCAGTGCAGTTAGGGTATTAGTTAAACTAGATTGTTTGTTTACTTGGCTCCACAGGATTGATGCTTTAACCGACAAAGTTTGTTTGTAATTGAGTTTGTGTATTTGAATGCTAGCACCTTTTATTCCCACCTGCCTTGTTAGGAATTCTACGTCAGGTGGTTTCCGAGGTTCCTTCCTTGTATGGATTTACTACAGATGATTTAGATTCCTTATTGTTGGTGTTGTCTTTCGCATATTTGACATGCATGCCGTCATCCATATTATTATTATCATTATTATTATTATTACTATGACCACTGTCATTGTGATTTCAGGTGGCACTTTCGTTCTAAGTTCAACTTCTTGGTCAGAAATGAGCTCGTTTCTGACTGCCTCTGTAACCATATTTATTATCGGTATACGTGTATATAAACTGACAATCTCAAAACTAACCACTTTCTTCTTCGTTATCTAATTTTAAATTATCTAATCTATGTTTTAGTCCGTAAGAATTTCCTAATTGTGATATGATTCGGAACGGCAATAAATTTTCTTCGAAACTGTGCCATCCAGTAAATAGTAATACTGTTTCACTGTATGATACAACTAATAAACTAACTAATATGGATTAAGTTCCTACCACAGTGCCCAAGTTTATACATACATAAAGTATTACCAGTTCAATCATATAGGTAGGCAGAAGTCGGTTGTTTTCAAATGAATCAGCCGTCTGATCTGAGCACACAACTAGTAAGCTCTGCTCCACACGAGCTGAACAGTCGTCTGATGTGTGGCTAGTAAACACTACTAGTCGACACTAGTGGTAGTCAACCACTCGTCTCAGTAATTCAGTAGTATATAGCGTTACTTCAGCATCAAGAGTCGTTCGAAACAATTTCTGTGTGAAAACAGCAGTCAAAAACAGAGGTTAATGAAGGTGTGGCCAAAATTGTCGACAACAATTTACGTCAATGTTTACGTCCTGAATCTAGGTCATGAGAAATCACAATAACAAAGCTTAACCTTCAGGAAGTAGTCATCAACCAATCACAGTAGACTTAATGTGTGCAAATACGACTCGCAAATATATATATGGCTTAACTTTCTGAGAAATGGTCGGTCAATAGCAGTACAGAATAACCTTCAGCAAGAAAACAACCAATTAGAAGAGGTTGCCTCTCTCTGCTAACAATAACGCTAATAATAATGTGTATAAAAATCTGCAAATATCTGTTGATTTCATAAATAAACGATCTGTTGCCTGGCCTTTGTTTTCTGTTGTTACAAAAGTATATAAATGACGTCAGGAAGTCGTTTGAATAAGTTATCCTTGAAAGATCTCCCAGTTCTATTTTCACTTTGTGACTATGTGTATATCATAATAAATATATCGTATTAAACTTATCTACGCAACAGTAAATCATGTACGTCAAAATCAAATGACCTTGTATCGACCAATCAGATGCCTGAGAAAACACAAGTTGAAATCAGATATTTGATTGGTTGATTCAAAAGCATTTGACTGTGTATCTGTTCTTCACTGTTACCCTTATCAGCTAATACAATACTGTACTCTGCCGCAGTACTTAAATTCAACTCTTATATTAATTCACGAATACTCAACTCATTCATGCACAGTGTACACAATAATTATGAATATAAAGCAAGCAATAAAGGTTATATAAGGCAGGATTTATTGAATGTAATGTAGTTGAAGCGTAATGCAATTGATCTTAATTTTGACCTCACATACTCCTTCTCCCCGTATCTATTTAAACGTGACCTGGAAAACATTCTCACTTGTCTTTCTGAATGAATAATTCAATGTAGTTTGCTTACTAGTCAGTCTTATATATCCCAATGTAATTTCAATAGTATATATATATATATATATATATATCTGTGTATGTAGAGTACTGAGCAGCTGACGAGTTCTACCGAAATTCGATGAATTTATTAAATCCTGCTTTAATCACATTTATTGCTTGTTTTAAATTCGTATCGGGAAATAAATGTTTTCAATTATGAATATTCCTAGCAATTTTGATTAACGTAAAAAAGCGAAGTCATTTAAAAGCACAACATAAAAAGTTTGCCTTTTATTATTGCATTATATATACACTTTTTAATTATTATTTAAACAAATTCTTTAATGTTTTGTTTTTCTTCGTTTTTTGTAAAATTTTAGTATCTTGGGCTGTTAGTTTTTCTTATGTTTGGTCATACTGTTGCACTTATTATTTACACAATACACAGGCATAAAGTAAGCTAAAAATGTCTCTACTTTTAATTCATATTGTAACATTGAAAAGACACTTTGTTTAAATTCATCTAAATTGCATGCATGTTGACTTTTGAAAAGTGAAACGATCTAAGTATGAACGATTAAATGTGGAAATGACATTTTTAATGAAATACATAATATTATATATCATATATATTTCACAACAACAATGTTTAGTCAGTTAGTTCTTCGACACAGGTTAGTAACTTGCACGGCGTGTCACAAAAAGCATTTCCAACAAGTTATAGACTTTTATAAATAACCGTATTCCTTCTATACTGCATATCAAACAGCTAGACAGAGAGATTTCGCAACTAAAACCTATGAAAACAAACGAATATAGAACCTTGTTATCAATATAAAACTTGGACACTGTGGTGGTAGAGTATAACTCCATTATAGACAAGATTTTATTTTGATAAGTCACACAATGTTACACATTAGCTGATGCCGTTTCGAGCCCAAACTATTGCCACTCATAATCATATCAAGTTACTCACACGACTTTTTCCTTCATTTATATGCATGTGTAGAATCGATTAGATATTGGAATAATTAACTGATGATAATGTGTATTTAGAAATAACAATATGAGTGTTATTGATCAATTACAATCAGATGGGAAACAAGACGAGTGTTTTTATAGTCACAATGAATAAGTAACTTGTTAGAATGTTGTGATGTACGTGAATTGAATTGAAATAGAATTTTGAGATTATTTATTATCCTCTTCTGATTTGACTGAATGGCGGTAATAATATCTTCCATACACATCTCTGGTATTTGCATTGAGTCATTTCTGTTGCATGTGTTGGGTTTAGATTATTCGATGAACCAGGATTCAGTAATCAACCACCTCTCTCCACCTACATAGATTACTTCTTAGAATCTTAACCATCTCCCACCCTTATTGTGTGGTTGTGGGTAATGCATGCAGTGCAATTGCTGAGCTTTTTTCTAAATTACTTATCTTCTCGGGGTCCGAGACTCGGTGGGAACATCATCACTCACTCAGTGAGAAATGCAGGTACATCCAGCTGGAGGACGAGTCCCAAATAAGAGGAAATGCGCATCCTGGCTTGATTCCACTGCTAGTCACCATCCACCAATTAAACACTAAGGTGTTGTCAAGTTTTTTTACTTATTCGTCCGACCATACAGTCCTCCATAATCGCTTCTAGTCATACCTACTTGATGAGATATAATGAGAGAGTTGTGTATCGAGAGAATTCTCAGAGTCTGGCAAGTTAATATTTCTTAATTTCTTGCAGAAGTCCATGTGTCTGTCTACAATAGTATTAACGCGTCTATATAGCAACTCCTTACTGTTCCTACAGATATCATTTTAGCGCCCTACGCAGTACAACAAAGTCTTTCTTAAGTAAGTAGCCCGTGAGAGATTAAGATGTTGATGTGGTTGTGTTCTCTTAGCTGGATGGTTGATTTGTGAAGCTTTCGCCACCCTACTGTTTTAGTTTGAAGTCTGAAGTATACGCTGAAGATGTCACCCAGTAGGGTGATGAAAGCTTCGCAAATCAACCATCCAGCTCAGAGAACACAACCACATCAAATCATCCACCTGAGCTACAAATCATTTCTATCACATCTAGATTAAGATGTAGGGAGCAGTTAAGAAGCCTAGTTCGAAAGCAAAAAATCAGCCAACTGTAACAGTAGAGATGGAGTGATACTAGATCATCATAACTTCCTTACTTAAAATGTTATGCGAAATGTCTTTCTGAAAACTAACATGACGACGGTGAAACCAGTGGAGATAAAGGGAAATACACGACTTAAAGTGTTTAGCATTAGGCTTAGCTTCTCAATTCCTGTGTCATCTGTGATAGTGAAACTATGAGAACTAACCAGTTCATATCAGTCACACTTGTGTCTGAAAGGGAACTTTTCAGTTGCATAGCCTCCAGACATAATTACTTTAAAATTAGGTGAAAATTATCATTCAGAAATTACGATGACGGAAGCTATCGGTTAAACGTCAGTATTTATTTTTTATACTGGATACAGTTACACTGAGTACAGAGAGGTGTAAAGGCTTAGAGAAGGAAAAGGAAGGTGTCTAAAACAATTAGACCTATTTCAGATAGCCACACATCACCTGAAACTCACCATTCTATCAAAGTCTATTTACAGTTGTCAATACGGTTAGTTTTGAATGCAACTGGTCAGTCTTTCAGTGACCTTAATGAGAACAAGACACGCAGTTCAGCAAAGAGTCTCTTTTCGCCGGTGAATTCATTTTCTTAGCTGTACAATCACAAATATGTACGTGTTATTTTATATGTTTATGTACATTAAGTTTGTCAAACAAAACTACAATTGGTTATGGTCATTTTAACTAAACAGACGAAAATTAGTAAGTTATGGGTAGAGTTATGTAATACAGAATCAGTCAAGAAAATTAGGTGTGAATAAAATTAGACAGGGCATTAACAAAGGTGATGAGATGTCACAAACAGTTGTTAAAAAGAAGTTATGTAATAATATGAATAGTTTGATGATTGAGTTTTACTCAGGATACACATAGGAATAAAGTAGAGGATACGACGTTACATAACAGTTCAAATATGTGCGCATATATCATTTCACCTGCTGCTGTGAGACCAGGTGCATAGATCGTTCGACGCGGACCCTTTTCAAGAGTACTCACTATTCAGCATGGTTGCGAGAAGGCGATAGTGGTGCAATAGAAAGTGCGATAATTAAACACCTGGTTAGCACTGATCATACCTTTTCAACAAACGCCTTCTGCTTCAAAGTAATCTACAGAGTCAAGAATAACCTACCAAAGGCATTAAGGTTTCGTCATCTTTGCATCGCTGAAGCTCTGGACATTCACATAGAAAAACCGGAGCTATACATAAACTTCTACTGTCATAGTAACAGCGTTGTTGATTTTAAACACTTAATTTTGTTTCTTTGCTTGTTTCTCTAATTGCTTAGAATTCTTCAATTCATTTAGATTTCTTACGTAATTTCGTATTCTATGCTTTGTTCCTATGTGCATCCTGAGTAAAACTCAATCATCAAACTATTCACATTAATACACAACTTCTTTTTTCAACAACTGCTTATGACAACTCATCACCTTTGTTATTACCCTACCTAATTTCATTCACACCTAATTTTCTTGACTGATTTTGTATTAGGCAACTCAAATTACCAATCTTCACTTGTTAAGTTACAATAACTATAACCAACTGTATTTTTGTTTGTCAAACCAAATCTACGTTTGCATACAAAATAACTCATACGTATATCTGTGACTGTAGAGCTCAGCGAATGAATTGGCCGGCGAAGAGAGACTCTTCACTGATCTACGTGTTTTGTTTCAATTGATGACTTGATGGGGATTATGCATGAATTTCAGTGACCTCTCGAATATGTAAAATGAAATCAAAAAAATTATGGATAATCCCCATCCAGGGCATTAATGAAAACAAAACACGTAGATCAGCGAAGAGTCTCTTTTCGGCGAATTCATTTTCATAGCTCTACATATATATTTGCGTTTGTACAGCTATGAAAATGAATTCGCCGAATAGAGACTCTTCGCTGATCTACGTGTTTTGTTTTCACAAAAATTAATTAATTATTTAATTAACCTTTTCTCTAATTTTCTTCTCATTTTTGAGTTTTAATAACATTTCGAAATTTTAGCCTCCTGAATCTTTAGTTACGAATATGAAGAACTTAGCTGCAAACTTTGTCAGTGAAAGCAGTGAAGATGCCTACAGTAAAGCATTAACATTTATCATGAAAAAAGTAAGCTATATATGCTATAAAGCAACAACATTTCTCTGTTTCGTAATTTCATAATCGTGTTTTTTTCTCTTGTATTTCCCGCTGTTTCAAAAGCTTCAACTGTGATTGGTTAATTAAATTGTTTAGACTAACCAATGAACGCAGTGTTTGTGTTAAGGTTACTTAAAAGACACGTATTCAGATTTTTATAGAACTGGTTACCTTTGAGCTGTTTGAACAAGGAATGATAAGATATATTTGCACCATAAAATAAGAGTACGTTTTCCATGGGGAATTCTTGTCGACTTCAAACAACCTGAACAATATCGAAATATACTTAAATTCAATTTTAGATGATCCAGTTGATTGGTTGGACCGGAGTCATCGGTCTTAGGTTGACATGGCGGCTTCTTGTGGGGAGCTTCGACGATATCTGGTCACGTAGTTAGAAGCCAATAGTTATCTGTTGACTAGCAGTGAAATCCACCAGGATGCGCATTTCGTCCTATTCAGGACTCGCTTTTGATCTGGATGTACCTGTATTCCACATCAAAATATGAAGTGAGAAAAGTTTGAACTTCCTGTCTGATGGGAATCGGCTTAAAATATTGATCACTTTATGATTCATTGTGTGATCGAATGACATTAAAATTTCTTTTTATTACCTTCGTCGTTGTCAAACCATCAATAATAATAATAATAATTTGCTTTATTCCAAAACAGTACTTCTGATACAGAATGGAATTCTCAGCATTTTACTACAGTTCTGCAACCAGTTAGTACATTAACAATGAATAAAATTCTACATAGATTATGGGTAATCTCAGTTAGTTTTGACAACAACATATTAGCATATCGGTAGCAAAGCCAAAAGTGAACAGAATGTTTGAAGGTGTTATAAAAGTAGATGCTACCATATTTACTGGTGAAAGCGGTAACAAAACAGTCAAGATATACAGAGTGTGAAAGAACGAAGAAGAATGTTTTAAATAGAGTCTGTAAGGAAGAGAGAAACAAAACAGCACATAACAAAAAAAGAGAGAGAGAAAAGGAAAAGAAAGAAAGAAAACGTTGTACCTATACATGATGTGAGTTGGAAAGACGAGATCCAGTCAGGTGTTCTACTGACTATTTAATAAGTTATAAGTTTCATGCTTAGTGCTTTCTTTATCGCTCAGAACACGAGTTAAGTAGGGTATGGTTGAGTTTTTGTACATGGTAGTGCGAGCATATAGTTTTCTATATAGGCTTCTGGTCTGCCTGCCTAATGAGATAGATACAAGGGGAGAGTTGTGAATGAAGAGGGTGGTGGTGTGAGTTAGATAGATAGAATGGATTTAGATCATTTTTCACATGAGTCTGTGACACAGGACTCAGTTTGTGTCATCAAGAGCTTATTTAGCCAGAGACATCTAGGTACAGAGTCAAAAGCAGAAGTGAAGTCGAGAAAAGTGCAGCGAATGTATTTGGCACCTTTGTCTAATGACGAGACGATACTGTTGTGTTAGACGGCTACAGCATCTAAAGAGCTCCTACCCATATCAACCAATCAGAATGTTTATTTTTCACCTGGCCGAGTCACGTGCCAATCAGAACAGTGTGAATCTACTACACTAGGCTATGTCTTCGTCTTCTGATATTTACGTCATTTAGTGAAATTGAAGGAACTATGGATGAATAGGTGTATCTAGCGCACCGGTTGAGTTGCTCATTGATTCAGAATTATTATACCCATGCGTAAGTCCCCTCGGTCATATCAACTGTCGACGCAATCATACCGACCAGCGACAGGTACATAACAAATTGACGACGAGTTCATGTCAACTGGTTGCGTAAACCGTAACACTTTCATCACAATAATATCAAGCTTTGAAGAGAAACGATAAACAATATAACGCCGAAATCATGTAAGTAGACAGATTATTCAGTGTTAAAAGGCTAACTGTTGATAGTTTAGAATTAGACAAGAAAAGGTGATAGGGGACAGGCAAAAGTTAGAGCTTCGCATAGAAACAATGGAAGAATAAAAGGGGACAATAGATTGTAAGATAGAATGAATTTTAATGAAAACAAACCACGCAGTTCAGCGAAGAGTCTCTCTTCGCCGGCCAATTCATTCGTTGAGCTGTACAGCCACAAATATACATATGAGTTATTTTGTATGCACACGTAGATTAAGTTTGACAAACAAAAATACAGTTGGTTATAGTTATTGTAACTTAACAAGTGAAGATTGGTAATTTGAGTTGCCTAATACAAAATCAGTCAAGAAAATTAGGTGTGAATGAAATTAGGTAGGGTAATAACAAAGGTGATGAGTTGTCATAAGCAGTTGTTGAAAAAAGAAGTTGTGTATTAATGTGAATAGTTTGATGATTGAGTTTTACTCAGGATGCATTGATTCCATGTGTATCCTGAGTAAAACTCACTCATCAAACTACTCATATTATTACATAACCTCTTTTTTTAACAACTGTTCATGACAACTCATCACCTTCGTTACTACCCTAATTTCATTAACACCCAATTTTCTCGACTGATTTTGTATTACGTAACTCCAATTAGTAATCTTCACCTGTTTAGTCCAAATAACCTTAACCAATTGTAATTTTGTTTGACAAACTTAATGTACACACACACATACAAAGTAACACGCATATATAGAGGTTACTTCATTCACTCACTTATCTAGGGAGCATTGTCTCATTTACAGGAAGTCAGAATGGACGAGAATGTCAAATCGAACGAGAATCAGGAAGGCGAGAAACACATTCATCAACCTGACTGAAACGAATCCGGAAATCTTCGTCACTCAGCCAGCATCAACAACAAAATTCGGTCGGATTTTCAATACAAACAACGTTAAGTCAGTCAGTTCTTCTATACGGATCAGAAACTTGGCGGGCGGGTCACAAGGAATATTTCCAACAGCCTGTTGTATACCTTTATCAACAATTGTCTTCCCTCTATACTGAAGATCAGATGGCCGGGCCGGAAAGAATCATCAACAAGAAACTAAGGGAACAAACAAAACAAGAACCAATCGTCCAACAAATATTATGCAGGAGAAAGTGGAGATGGATTGGACACTCGCTGCTGAGGGGACCGCTGGGTGACATCGCGCGTCAAGCCCTCGAGTGGAAACCGAAAGGGAAGCGGCGATTGGGAAGTCAGTGCAAGGGTGACACGGAGGAGATCTTGCGAAGAGGAGTTGAAAGAGTATGGACTAAAATGGATACAGATGAAAAGTACAGGAGAAGAAAGAATGAAGCAAATTGAGACGTGCAGTTGAAGCCGTATGTTCCACTAGGAACCCAAAGGAGCAATAATAATAATAATACAGCTAAGGTGGAAAATGAATTGGCTGGCGAAAACAGACTGTTCGCTGATCTACGTGTTTTTATTTTCCTTCACACCTGGATGGGAATTTTATATGAATTGGAATGATTTTTTACAAAATATGATGGTGATTTCAAAAAATTGGTGGTGAAAAGTAAAATTATGACACTGAGAGAAAATCAAGTTAATTTGTGTATATTTAACACCGACTGATTTCAGTTCTGTTTGTGGAAATCAAAATTAGACGAAGCATCGCGCAACAGAATTACACAAACACATAATTGTCACAGATATATAAGAGTAATGAGAGGGTTAATAAGGCTACCTTTCTGTATACAGCTATTGGTCTGAAATATTTTTTGAAATCAATGGCTTCGGTGAAGGGGATTGACCATGGTGTTGTTTTGTGTACTGATTACTTTTGTAAACTCGACTAATTTCAACTGTATGCTTTGTTCCAGTCAGGTGTCTATCAATTGTACTTGAGGACACTGTTAGGATTCAAATGGAGACTGTTAGAAATATGCTCACAGAATTTAGTAGACGATCTTCACGCGGTGCTTCCAGTGTACTCGCCACTGACATTGTGTTTCACTCAGCTAATCTGAATGCTGTTTGAGATCGTTTATTAAGGAAATCAACAAATATTTATAGATTTTAATGTACATTAATATAGATTATAGTTAGCAGACAAACACAGCCTTCTGATTGGTTATTTCTCAATGAAAGTTATTCTTTCATCTCTTTCGGACTGTTTTTTGAATGTCAGATCATCTATCTGCAAACTGTATCCGCCTACAGAAAGTCTGCTATCAATCTTTGTTCTTGTTGCCACATGACTAATATTTGGGACATAAACATTCACGTAAATTATTTTCTACCAATTTGGCTAGCAGCCACCTCTCATCACACTTGTCTCCCCGTCAAAGACTTGCAAGTGAAATTGCGGTTCTAGAGGTTTTGTTCGGCGCTTGCTGATGTTCGCCTGTTTCTCTTTGTTTACCATTGTGATTTTGTCTGTATAACCCCATCTCAAGGTGACCATATGTGGTCCTTCTCACTTTGGAAACTGTTTGCCTAACCCTGTCAAACATTCGTCGGTATTCCGTCTCACACTTTCATATGATGCTTTCTCCCGACCTCCATACAGCGACCCAAGTAACAGCCTCATTGCTAACAGATCTTGAATGCTATTCAACTGCGCAGAAGCCTCGAAGTCCTGCCCAAAGATTCATAGGTCTCCATCAAAAACTGCAGGGCACAGGCTTTCCATTTCTTGGTAGGCAGTGACACCAAATGTAACAAGAGAAGAGAATGGCCCGGAAACAGATCTTTTATTTACGAAATCAACAGATATTTATAGATTTCCATGTACATTACCATGGATTATTGCATGAAGAAAAACACAGTCTTCTGATTGGTGGTTTCTCGCTGAACGTTAATCTTTCGTCTCTTTGTGGCTTTTTCTTGAATGTCAAATCATCTATAGGCTAACGTTATCCGCCTACACAAAGTGTGCTCTGATTGGTTGTTGAATCAGTCTTTGTTCTTATTTTTCTAACGACCATATTGGGAACGTAAACGTTGACGTAAATTACTGTCTACCAATTTGGCTAGCAGCCAGCTCTCACCAAAGTATAAGCACTCTTGTTGACGATACGTCTTCACTTTTATTGTTGTAGTGGTGGCTGCTTTGTGGTTGGCAACTATATCAGTAGCTGTCAGCCCATGGGTTCCATATGTCTAGCGGTCCACTAAGTTGTATCACTCCTGATATCTGTAAAGTTGATTGAATCACACAAGGTGAAGTTTGTGCGTGTTTGCGTGTTTTCTCATGAGCTGCGTTCAAGTGACTGATACGTTTAGGTGAGAACTCACTAAAAACAAATGAATCATTTCTATGCAGTTTTGAATTTTTTTTGCGTAAATTGCTTTCAGCTACTTACACTTAGGCAGTAGTAGATGCTTTTTTCAACATTTATTTGACTTGTTTAGGAATTTTTTAAGAGAATTTAAAATTTCTTTCTCAGTGCCATCATAGATTACACTATTTCAATATTTTACTGCATTTCAGTTTAATTGTTGCGGTGCAATCAATGGAAGTGATTTCAGTAATTCATCTAGCTTTCAAAGGAGCCAAAAGGGTAAATTGATAACACGTGTTCATTTGTTCTCATTTTCGCAATAAACCATTGAATTTGAATTCAGACACCCGCCAGAGTATTAAGATGTTGATTTAAACAAAATATCAGTCTCCTAATGTTAATTTATGATGCCTATTCATTAAGATGAGTAGTATGAATTTGTAAACTGTTAGCAGATAATACTGGAAAGGCTTTCAGTGAAATGAATGTGGACGGAGAACTCTTGGTAGACTTCTGTGACGTATAGGGAGTTGGTAATTTGAAGTAGAGTTTGAAAAAAAAAACGAAGATATCTCCAAGGAAACGGAAATCTCCCTTTTGATGAACACATTGAGAATGGCACAGAATTTATCTCAATCCCAGGAAAAATTTAAGATACAGTCTACCTGACTAAAGGTTGAGAAAGCCTTGGAGGAAGTTGGAGGGAGAGAGACTACATGTTTAGCATTCAGAAATTGAAGCATCGGATTGCAAAGAATAATTTCACTGAAGTTATCATGAAAATGTCGAAATCATTAAGCGTAGCATTCACTAGGATTTCTGTTTTGAAGAACACTGAAACTCTCTCAAACAACTTGGGAAGAAATAAGTTTAGACATCTTAGTCAAGTGGCAGAAGCAAGACAAAGAATGCATCTTGAAGAAACCTGGAACATTGTAGAGGAAGAAGGATAGGGAAGCGAAATACCAACCACTACATAGGTGAACACCGGAGAGGAGATGCTGAGTACGATCTTCACAATACCGAAGAAATCAGTAAAGAAAAGTGCTAGGAAAGACAAAAGATGCTTTTTGTAAAACAATGACATCTGAAAATGATCCGGTGACTATTCAAGGACGAAACCATTGGGATATATTGAGGGAAACGTCCTTATCAAGAACGAACTTAATAAAGAACGAGCACCTCAAAGAACCTTTAACTAAATGTCCTATCTCAACTTCATCGACTTTGAAAAGGCTTTCAACAGCGTCGATCAAAGGTGATTTGGCAACCATTTCGCTACTAAATGTGCCATATATTGCAGTAGAGTGGATAATGCGACAGACAGACAGCAAAGGAAACAGGCATAAAACAGACCCACACAAAAAACTTGGAGGATCCCGACTTCGCCGATGATATATGTCCTATTTCCCACAAATTGGAAGATATGCAAGTGAAAAGTAACAAGTTGGCAGAAGAAGCATCAAAGATAGGACTTTAAGTAAACATAGAGAAAAAATAGGTGATGAAGATTCCTGGCCAACACCAACAGCAACAACAACAGACAACAATCAGCCATCATAAATGGGAGGATCCTGAAAGAAGCAGCCTCCTTTACCTACCTGGGAAGCATCGTTTCAAATACAGCACACGGAACTGACTAGGATATCAAAGCCAGAATCGGAAAAGCAAGGCAAGCTTTCACTACTCTCAAGTCTGTGTGGAGATCAACAACACTCAACATCAAAAATAAGGCGCGGATTTTCAACTTCAATGTAAAGTCAGTGCTACTCGCTATACGGATCAGAGACTTGGCGAGTCATAAAGAGCACCTCACACAGACTACAGACCTTCATTAACAGCTGCCTTCGCTCAATGCCATTCAGGATCATATGGCCAGAAAAGATTAACAGTAGGGACCTCTGGTAGCGAACCAATCAGGAGCCGATTGTGCAAAAAACAAGCAGAAAGTAATGAAGATGGATTAGCCATACTCTGAGAAAACAAACAATCAAGTGACATCAGTAGACATGCCTTCGGGTGGAACCCGAAAGAGAAGCGGCGAGTTGGTCGTCAGTGAGAGGGTGACTTGAAGGACATCATGTGAAGAGATGAAAGCATGTGGGCAGACTTGGAGCCAGGTGAAAACATTGTCAAAGAACCGAACGCAATGGAGACGTTTGGCTGAAGCCCTATGTTCCTGTAGGAATTAAAGGAAATAATAATTATAATAAAGGACATTTGAAAGATAATTACCTACAAGTCGTCCAGCAATACCACCAGCATATACAGAACTGTTAGAGAACACAGATCCACTGACAAAATCAGAAGTCATTAAAGCCATAAAGTTGTTGAAGGCTGGAAAAACTAAATGACTGGCTGGAACTCCCTCAAGAGTAATGAAAACTGACTCAGAGACCTCAACCAACATGCTAAAGTCACTACTACTACTACTACCGAATTTGTGAAGGAAAGAGAACGCACTTCCCCACTAGAACAATGGCCACTTTATTAAACTATAAGGGTCTAATAAAGTATAACTATATTTCAATAGTTTAGGCTATCCATTCTGAACAAAATGTTAGGCCACATCATCATAGTAAGTCTAATGAGATCGCCTAAACGAAAAACTCCACTATCAACTATCTATCTAGATTCATGGAAATCAAATCATGAGTGAATCAAATAGCAACACTATGGATTATCATCAGAAAGAGCTTAGAATGCCAGTCACGTCTATGTCAGAACTCCCTTGAGTTTCGAAAAATGTTTTTGACAGCTTCGATTGATATTGAAGTAATTTTGGTTAATACTGGTTTACCACACCTGAATGAGTCCATTGTATCAGATCGTTTAACACTGATCGATTTTGTTGCAAAATTTTCAAAACGTCCTGCTCTTTCTTTCTCTGCCTATTCGAAACCGACAAGAATTGCATGTCAACTCCTAAAAGCAAGGGAGTACTGGACAGCTGTTTCATCGTAGCTTGGAAGTCATCGGCACTATTCACCCACCACAGGAGTTCGGACTCACGACCTTTCGGTTACAAGGCAAGCTCGTATACAATTCAGCCACTGGGAGCCGATTTAATGGCTCATGAATTCTTGCGTCGACCAATTGATGATATAGCGCGACCTCAACCATTGTTGTAGGTGGGAGATCCCTCCTCACACATGACATCTGGATGGACCTCATTGGTCACGACTTCTCACTAGAACTAACTCCAGGAAACTTCATCTTGTATCAAGGCACTAGTGATTATCAGAGCCTGCCTTGTAACCGGAAGGTTCAGGGTTCAAAACCTCGCATTTTGTGCGTACTGCCGATAATTCCAAAACTAGGATGAAACAGCAGCTGTTCAGTACTCCCTGATTTTCTAACTGATATCAATCCATGATCAACTCGTAATAGAATAAACCCATACAAACCAAACTACAGAAAAACAAACTCCTAAAAATTTGAAGTAAATGTAACTGATATCGATCAACACGCTTATGTTAAAATCAAATAAGAATGATGACAGTTTGCTGATACTTCCAATGACAACTTTTCATTATCTCATAACTTCTTTGATAGTAGAACACTACCGCAACAATTCCTGATCACTGGTCGTAAATTTTCCATACGTTTCCAGGCTAGACACCAGAATCTAAGATGGAATGAACACTTGACTAACAAACTTTTTTTTTCAAGCCTTAATCTTCCACAGTATTCTTTCTTATGTTTGTTTTGAATTCACACTATATATTTTGATCACTGAGGAACAGTTACCATGAGAATAGGCCGCAGCATTTAATACAAAAATGTTTTTTGTGATAGTATTTATACCTAGATTTGAGGTGGAGAGTATTAGATAGGAAAAAAAGAGATTAACCGATATACATGTAAATCTTCACCGGCTGAAGTTATTAGATATTTCCAATCCCTACCTATCATACTATGTAACTTAAGTCGATGTTAAATTTAGCTGCTTAATGAGATTATTTTTTTCACATGGATGTTTTGAATTGCAACAACTATAACAAGACAAGTCCTTTAGTTTACCGATTTGTTTCCGTAGTAACTAACTACTAGATAGAATTCAGGTTGCAGCGAAGAAAGGACAAGGCAATTCTATATGGGTCTGTTTATTAGATGTATCACACAGTCACTGAAACAGTATTATTTACTAGATGACACAGTTTTGAACACAATCTATTATTTGTATACAATTGGTGGATGGTGGCTAGCAGTGGAATCCAGGATAAAGCGCATTTCGTCCTAATTGGGACTCGTCAGCTGGATGTACCTGCATTTCTCAGTGAGTGATGATGTTCCCACCGAGGCTCGAACCCAGTGCCCATAGTTTCGAGCCTCGGTGGGAACATCATCACTCACTGAGAAATGCAGGTACATCCAGCTGACGAGTCCTAATTAGGACGAAATGCGCTTTATCCTGGATTCCACTGCTAGCCACCATCCCCCAATTGTATACAAATCAAATCCCCAGACATCGTCGAAGCATCTGCACAAGAAGCCGACATGTCAACCTGAGACCGAACACTTCGGTCCAATCAATCGACGGGAAAATCAAGAATTCAATTCAATAACAATCTATTATTGTTCATAATCATATAATCAATTATAATCACACGATTTTGAAACTTGAGTTTTATAGTTTACTTTGTCCTCTCCGTCTTGTCGTTGGGGTAGTAGAATCTTCCAGATATCTGGATGGACAGGTGTTGAATCATTCCTATCGCATATGTTTGCAGTTGATTCGATAAACAAAGCTTCTGTTATCAATCTTTCCGCACTCACCACCCTGTGACGTTAGATTTTAAAACTGTCATCCTATCCCATCCAGCCTATTGTATGGTTATGTGTAACTGCATGTAGTGAGTGCTATAGCTGAACTATTCTCTAGATTTTTTATCTTATTCGGGTCAACTAATCTAGACTTAGCTAAGTTTTTGTGCGCGGTTAGTCTGACTGACTCCACCTGTTCTACTACTTTGACCTATGTAATTTACCTCACAATGATTGCAGGCATGGTATTAGATAAACTGAATTGTTTTGCTTTAACGGCTTCACAGGGTTGATCTTTCGACCGACAAAGCTTGCTTCTAATTGAGTTTTTGGTTGATTTGAATGCCAGCGATTAATATTGATAAGAATTATGGGTAAGGTTTCCTAGGTTCCTTCCTTGTATGGAATTACTACTGATGATTTAGATTCCTTATTGTTGATGTTGTCTTGCTCACGTTCGACGTGCATGTCGTCATTATTGTTACTATTATTATTAATATCCCCATCACTACTATCATTATTTATTTTGTTTTTACATTTCCTTACATATTTCCTGACTAATTTATCGGGATAATTAATAAGTTCCAATGCTTCTTTTATGTGTATCACTTCACGACTTAGATTCTCCCTGGTACTATCTAGTATTTGTGCTCTGTCACTTAAACATTTGATTGCATGGAGGATTTAATCATGAGCTGATATCAGTTAGAGAACCACTGGAAAACGTGAGAGTATTGGACAGCTGTTACCATCGTCCTAGTTTGGGACTCTTCAGCAGTACGCACCCACCGGGATTCGAATCCAAGACCCTCTGGTTACAAGGCGAGCTCGTAGACCATTGAGCCACTGGGACCCGATCCAAAGGTCCTTGAATTCTAACTTCTGCCGATTCGTACTGGTGACGAGTCCCAAACTAGGACGAAACAGCTGTTGAGTACTCCCAGCTGGTTTTCCAGTGGTTCTCTAACTGATATCAGCTCACGATGAAATCCTCCATGCAATCAAACAAAATCCCTACAAAACCAATACTTGAAAACTTAAACATTTCACCAATCCTAGTTTTACTGACATAGGATGGGATGATCGGAAATCCAAATATCTGTTTTAATATGTGGGTTTCCTGTAAACACTAGTGTTTACCTCCCATCTTCTTTCTTTTTTACACTGCATTCTAACATTGGAAGCCCTCTGCTCTTCCTAACTTTCCAATTCAGAAGTGAATTGAATTGCCTGCATCTGTGTGTTAATGTTTTCGAAAAATCTATCTATATCTTGTGTTCTAAGTACAATGAATGTGTCATCTACATACCACCTCCATCATATTTTTCAGTTGGGGGTAAACGTTTCAGTCGCCATGTTTTCCCACCTATCCATGAATATATCTGCAACAACCGGAGATATTGATGATCCCATGATAACTCCCTCAGTTTGTTTGTACATTTTCCCTTGGAATTTGAATACTGTGGAAGTCAGGCATAGCTGCACTCCCAGCATTATGTCCTCGAATGGCACTTTCGTCCTAAGTTCGAGTTCTTGGTTAGAAATGAGTTCGTTTCTGACTGCCTGCTTCTATAGCCATATATTTATTATCGGTATACGTGTTTATAAACTGACAATCTCAAAACTAACCATTTTTTCTTCATAATCTAATTTTAAATTATCTAATCTATGTTTTAGTTTGTAAGAATTTGTTTATTGATATGATTATGAACAATAAATTGTGTTCGAAACGTCATCCAGTATACAATACCGTTTCACTGTGTGATATATCTAATAAACAAACTAATATGGAATTACTTACTACCACCACCACCACCACAGTGACCAAGTTTTACACACATATTAATAAACAGCTAGACACGTCGCACTAATTACTTGTGTCTAATAAAGATATCCACTGCAGTCCTGCAGGAGCTCCATCGCAAGCCCGAATAGCTAGCTCAGTGGAAACGTCTCTGACTAAAGCACACACACACACTGAGTGACGCGGATTCGAATCTCAGAGTGGACATGAGTTCCTTCAAGGTGTTTGCAGATTCGCCTTGCTGACTGCTGGGTGCAAACTACCACGAAGCTTAGGTCCAAGACTTCCTATGTCGACGATCGCCTCGAACTATATAATATCATCAAGTATTAGATATCTCTGCCATTGATATGAGACGTTTCTATACCAATCTAGCCATCCCACTACTCAATACTACTGTTTCAGTGTATCACATTACTTAACTATTTGGAAAAATCTTTTCTTTGTTTTTGTCGCATATAGGTAAACAATTGAAGTATCCGCCATTGTGTTGCAAGTCAGATACTTCAAAAACTGGAGAACAAAAGTGTAATTCAAAAGTTGATACTTTCCATATTGGTTGTGCAAAGAGAATCCATGAAAAGTATCTACGTCTTACAGATATATTTGCTTATTTAACAATAGTTGTCTATCTGGTTAATGTAAGCTGACACTTTAATCGTTTTTTTTCAGCGCATTTTAGGCAATTTTACGAATTCTCAGTTTCATTTATCTATCCCCCTTCTTTAAATTATCTTTAAATACTCGCCAGAGATGATTTTGGCTAGTAGTCGGGTTATTTCGTGAATTGCCGAAAGCTGGAATTCATGGCCCATTGGATTGGGTCTTAGTGAGTTAATTGTCTACTGGCCCTAATTGTACTGAGTTCTCCTGGGTTCGAACCTTGGCGGCGGGTGCGTACAGATGGAGTGTCCGAAAGTATGGCGAAACGGCTGCCCAGTACTTTGGTAAGGTTATTCTGTCATCTCCTTGTGGCCGTTTCTTAGAAATTCAGACCATATATATCTGCGAATCGTATTTGTACACGTTAAATCTACTGTGACTGGTTGTTGAGCTCGTCAAGGTTAAGTTTTGTTATTGTTTTTTCTCATTATCCCGATTTATGACGTAAACATTCACGTATATTGTTGTGTATAACTTTGGCTAGCATACAGCCTCACCACACTCTTAGCTGGTTTTTCAGTAGGTTCTCTAACTGATGTCATCTCGTGTCGAATACTGCAACAAATCAGATCCCTGGAAAAAGCCAACAACTGAACCTTAACCCCTCATTGATCACTCATTTCAGTCATCAGTACAATCGTCATCATCATCATATCTGATTGGTTGGAATTACTCTAGTTGATGACATTGAGGATGTTTTTGTAATTGCCTGAACCCAGCGAGATAGACGGCAGAATATCAAGGCTGATTGACAGGTAGTTAATGCTTGTAGGATTTTCAAGCCATTCGACCAAAAAAACTTATGTATTGGTTGCATTAGGTGTTTATATATATTTGACAGTCAAGAAATTACCTACAGTGAAACATTGCAAATCATTTCTATTGTTCTTATAACAATCATTCATTACCACATTAGATCATGAGCTGATGTGTGTGGTCTGTGGGAGAACTGTACATATGTTTCCTCGTGGTGTCAGACTGTCCAAGAGAGCACAATTGTAAGTCTACGAGGCGAGCCCCTTTCGAACATTCAGATATCCCAATTGAAGCAGATAACTTATGAATTCTAAATTCTACCAGTTAGTGGTGCATTGAGTAACCTTCAGTCAGTGTTTGAGTGTTTGAGTATTTATCCTGACATCACACTTGATCGACTCAAATGAAGTTGTGATGAGAATTCATGACTTAGGGAGTTGTACCATGTTCAGTATGAAGACAAATAGTGGACAGTTACATTACCTGGTGAGTACTATATACGCTTATGATTGTCAGAAGTTAAAGTTCCTGGGCCATTTGATCCTATTCCAACACGTTCATCTTGCAAACTCGATTTCTTATGGTGTGACGAGGTCATACTGTAAAAAAGACGCACACTTGGTTAGAAAAACATATGTCCAGTACTTTTCGGTTATTGACGATTCCTTGCTTGATATGAGTTTATTCGTTAAAAAAAAGTTTCATGGTATTATTCTGAGATTTTATTTTGATAAAGTCACACACAGTGGTGTTATACAGTAATATAAACTGATGACCACGTTTCGAGCATTAACTATTGCTTGTCATCATATCAAGTTACCCACACAACTATCCTCCTTCATTTACATACGTGTGTGTGTGTGGAATTGACTAGACATTTAAATAAAAATCAATATGGGATAATGTACATTCACAAATAATAATAATATGGGTGTAATCGATCAAGTACAATCAGATGGGAAATAAGGCGAGTGTTTTTATAGTCATAATAAGTAACTTGTTAAAATGTTATGATGTTTGTGAATTGAATTGAAATAGAATTTTGAGATTATTTATTATCCTCCCCTTATTTGATTGACTGACTGACTGATTGGGGTTAATAATATCTTCCATACACATCTCTGGTATTTGCATTGAGTCATTTATGTTGCATGTGTTGGGTGTAGATTATTCGATAGACCAGGATCTAGTAATCAATCTCTCTCTCTCCACCTACCTAGATTACTTCTTAGAATCTTAACCCTCTCCCATCCTAGTGAGTGGGTTTGTGTTATATAGGTGAAGAGAGATATTGATTACTAAATCCTTGTTTATTGAGTCTACATCCAACACAACACATGCAACAGAAATGACTCAATGCAAATACTAGAGATGTGTATAAAAGATATCATTACCGCCAGTCAGTCAAATCAGAGGAGGATAATAAATAATCTCAAAATTCTATTTCAAGTCAAGCACATCACAACATTCTAAGAAGTAACTTATTCTGACTATGAAAACACTCGTCTTATTTCCCATCTGATTGTAATTGATCAATAACACTCATATTATTATTTCTGAATTTACATTATCACACATTAAATTTTTATTCAGACATCTAGTCAATTGCACACATGTATATAAATGGAGGTAAAAGGTTGTGTGTGTGAGTAACTTGATATGATTATGAGCAGTAGTAATAAATTGTGCTCGAAACGTGGTCATCAGTTAATATTGCTGTGTAACACTGTGTGACTTATCAAAATAAAATCTTATCTTTAATGAAGTTATACTCTAACACAGTGCCCAAGTTATATACTAATATCGATTCCTCTGAGAAACTGCAAGTGGTTGCATTTTATTTTGCTGAATGAAAGCAGTACACTGTGTGTACAGGGAAGTCTTCAGTCACTGTGTTTACTGAGGTCTGATGACTTTAAAATGTTACGTTCCCTCCCCTTCCTTCTTCCTGTCTTGTTTAACTATACTCATCTTTATAGTGATGATATGTCAGTTTGACTACCTTCTACTAATAACGAAAAAACAGCATGTTTAAACAAACAAATTTTCAGGGAGACGTAGTGGTCGATAAAGGCTACTAAAAACAAATGAACCGATTAAGTAATGCTAGTTTGTAAGGGAATTAAATAGAACACGTTTACGAGCAGAGCAAGAAAGATATGTACAGATGACCTCCTACAAAAGGAACTTGAATATATTCACGATTCCTTGACGGAGATGGGCTATCCGAGTATTTTCATAAAGAAACATATGAAAACATTAGAGAAAACCTCTATTTATTAAGTTACAATTTAATGGTGACTTATCAAGTGAGACATTGTTCCAAAGACTTTCAAGAAGTATACGGAGAACGTTTTAAGCAGCATACCTATGTTTGTCATTCTCTAGCCGACAAATGATTGGGACGCAAACGAACGATAAGCTAGATAGTTTTGCCACATTTATGTGCATTTATCAATTCAACTGCACCTGCGGTGACAGTTATGTTGGGCGTATTACTAGACAGCTTAGCCAACTAACGTGTTAGTGAACCTCTCTCATCGTAGTGGCTTGGCAGAGGCCAGACAAAACAATCCATAGCCCAATTTCGTCCCATTTAATTGATAGTGGTCATGTAGTGGAGAAAACGAGAGCTTTCAAAGTAATCCATCGTATCCCACCGGATCTTCCCAATAGACTTCATTCTCATCTACAGCTGAGGCGATATGTATTCGAACTACTAAACGTAAATTATGCATTCAAAAGAAGTTCGTACAGCCATTTTCGAGTCCTTGTTAGCCTATTAATACTTAACCAACTGATGACTTCTCCACTCCCACGGTCCCCGTTGCTTATATTTTCAACCCCTTTCTTATCATCCCTTAATCTTATCACATCTTCATTAAAAACGTGTCTCATTTACTTCCCTTACAATCTAACATTACTTATTCGGTTCATTTGTTTTTACTAGCCTTTATCGACTACTTCCACCTGAGCATTTGTTTGTTTAATCATGCTGTTTTTCATTATTCGTGTTATCACAGATTGCCTCACTTTTCATCCTTATTATTGATAAGACCGTTATTATTATTATTATTATCATTACTACTACAATGACTAATTGCACAATTTATATTCACCATCTTATTATCATATAGACAAAACTCCATGATTGGTTTATATTTGAATTTTTATTTGTAAAGTTCTGAAGGTATATCAGAGTTAAGCCTGATGAGATCTAATTGAAAACAGCATTATTGTTTGCTTACATATGTTGTTCTAAATTTTACTACATTTTAATATTCGATATACCTTATACTGCCTAGAAATTAGTCAGTAACATTTGGATCGGGTTTCAAGTAAAAATCTTCCGAAAATTAGACTGTCAATTTCACTTGCGAAGGGAAACACGCCTAATCTGAACAGGCTCATTATCACAATTTTGGTTGTAAAAGGGATAGTGATGTCGAAAGTGTGTGCATCGGTGGCACAGTGGTTAGGAGTCTCGCCGACCATGCACATGGTCCGGGGTTCGAGCCCGCACCGACGCACACCTGATATCTATGGTTGGCCTGCAAAATTTGGGCTACCGATATCCATGCTGAAAATTCCATACTTGTACCGAAAATACAGTGTGGAATCAAGCTGTAAATCAAAAAAAAAATATCACATCTCTCTTCCACGCTTTTCCAGTCATTAAATATATTGGTGATTTGAAAAAAAATATTTCACCTGTTATTCTACATAAAAAGATTAAGGCATTTACAATTCGTTAACCCTTTCATTGTGCTCTCCCCATTTCCACTGCTTCGTGCCTAAATCTTTGCCTGAGGCTCACTAGTGATCGGCCCAATTCAGGTAGATAGTTACCTAGGGTTTAAAAGGGTAGGGCACAGCAGTTTGAGGGTTAGGCAGTAACTCCTGGAAGAAGACACTGAGAAGTGGTTGCGCTAAGTCATGAATTGGCAGAAGTCGGAAATCATGTACTGGCCCCTGGACCGGATCCCAATAGGCTAGTGGTTTACAACCTCGCCTGGTAACCAGAAAGTCTTGGGTTGTTACCCCAATCGGTTGGGTGCGTACTGATGAATAGTCATAAACTAGGCTAACGAAAGACCTGGCTGTCCAGTACTCTCAGGTGGTTTTCCAATGGTTCTCTAACTGATGTCAGTTCATGATGAATCCCTCCAACCAGTCAAACACGATCCCTACGAAACCAACGCATCACAACAATTATCTGCAATCTATATGTAGGTAGACGTACGACAATACGATTCTCGGCAACCAACTAAAACTTTCATTCCTTTTTTACATGATCTTCTCTGTGCAGTTATCAAACCCACGCCCACACTATTCAACTTCCAGTAAATGGAGTTATGTATGATGTCACTTGATAGAACATTCCCTCGGCACATAGCTCTTTTTATTCCATAATGCTGCCATTGCATTAAAAAGGCATAAATTTGTCCAACTGTAAGATAGGTGAATTTGTGCAACACATTTCTCTAATAGCCTATTTGTTTTAAATGTACGTATGACTACTTCAAGTTTTGTAAGTAGTTGAAATTTTTACGCTAAAATAAATTTCAACCACTGGATTTCATATTTTTCAGATAATTACAATTGTCATGGGTATAATGGTTCTCAGTATTCCTCCACATCAAAAGCCCAAGAAGTTATCAGGAGACAATTAATAAAAACACCATTTGACAATCTATACATATGATTAAAATACTCCGAAGAGAAACATTTTTACTGAAATACTATCAAAAGATAATTAGTTCTCTGTACTTTGTGCAAATATAGATACCTGCCTCTGGACACACTTCAATGACAGAAACATGATACAGCAAACTCATTGAATTACTCTCAAGGTTCAGCGGCTCCTCTTTTACTTTTAGTGAAGAATAAAGACAAGATGAAATCCATTTTTGTTTCATTTTCCATCACCAAAATCTTATTGTTGAGATTTTTTTTGAGATAAAAATTGGGAAATAATTTTGAATTCGTAATAATTCCCGTTATATCGTGCATTCTCCAAACTCTTTGGTTGTTCGAGTTATTTAGCATTTACGTTTGACTAGTGATTGAGTGTTTCAGACTGCAATGTTCACTTGCTGTTGACATGTCGTCAGCTTCTAGTGACTACACGTTGTGCCACAAGGATTGATGATTGCTAGCAGTATAGTCCAAACTGGGTGTTTTGTTTGTGGTTGAGAGTCGTCACCTGGTTATTGTGACCCACTAGTCTAGTAGAAATCATTTTGAGGTTTGAAACGATTGGTGTAGGAGGCAATGACCGCGTATTATCCTTTTTAGAGATTCTACAATAGGGTGGAGCGCCCTTCCAATTCTAATTAAAAGTGTCTTAACTTTTACGAATGATTGCTTCAGCAGTATATAATGGTAGAGGATCTCACGAAATACTTGCCTATTCGATATGAGATTCGGTAGATGGATGAATCTTCCCCGGTTTTCTCTTTCATCACCGTTTCAAAAAGGACCTAATCCACTTTTACCTGAGTGTTGTAATACAAGCAGTGATGTCTACGTAACACTAGTGTTCTTATAGCATTTCGACCGAGTATAATGTCTTCTACAGTCGCTTCTGGTGCTACCTGATGGGACATAGAGAGGGAGTTGTGTGCATAGAGAGGATAGTCGGTGTCTGACAAGATATTATTTATTACAGGAGTTCAAATGTCTCTCTATAACAGTGTTCAAGAGTTGCCTTAGCGACACCTCACTTGGTGCCCTTCGCAGTGTATCAAAATCTTTCTTAATTCATTTATAATCCACATCCACGCATTAATGAAAACAAAACACGTAGTTCAGCGAAGAGTTTCTTTTCAATGACGAATTCATTTGCTTAGCTGTACGATCGTAAATATGCATATTAGTTATTTTCTATGTATGTGTACATTAAGTTTGTCAAACAAAAATACAATTGGTGACGGTTATTTTAACTAAACAGGTGAGGATTGGTAATTTGAGTTACCTAATACAAAATCAGTCAAGAAAATTAGATGTTAGTGAAATTAGGTGGGGTAGTAACAAAGGTGATGAGTTGTCATAAACAGTTGTTAGAAAGGAGGTTAAGTAATAATATGAATCGTTTGATGAATGAGTTTCACTCAGGATCTAAATAGGAACAAAGAAGAAAATACGAAACTACATAAGACTTCTACATGAATAGAAGAATTATAAGCAATTAAAGAACAGGCAAACAAACAAAATCAAGTCATCAAAATCAAGAAATCTTTCTTAATTAACTTGGGAAGGATTAGGTGGGAGCGATAAAAAGGAATAGAAGAACCGAATACAAAAATTTAAAAGAATACAAAAGTAGAGACTGATTGATACCAGAATGTCTTCTCTTCCCCACACAGGACGTTTCACAAAGTATCTCCTTAGGAATTAACATTGTGTCGAGATCGGCAGAATTACATTCTCTACGGCATTCAATATTCAACTTGGTTTCAACTTCAGTGTTATGTGTGATACAAGAACCAGGAGAACGAATCTGTGCGTCGGTGAGACAATAGTGGTAGGGAGGCTCACCGACTATGCACATGGTCCGAGATTCGATCCCCTGGCGATGTACACCTACTATCAATAGTCGACCTGCTAAATTTAGGCTACCGATATCACATGCTGAAAATCCCATACTTGTGCGAAAGAACACTGTGTAGAATCAAGCTATAATTAGATAAATAAAACAAATAAGTGGGGCCTGTGTCTAAAAGTGAAAAATTACAAATTGACATCTGGAGGGATATGGCTTAAGACCGATTGGAAAGGATAACTGACTGATTTCTGACAATGCATTATTAATTTTAGAACAGTCAGATTAAGAAGTAACCGGCACGCAAACTCAGGAATAGTGGAAAGACATCTGACAGAGACAGGGAATGTATTTATTTATTCAAATTTTTTCTGTTGGTAATGATTGGTGCTTGTTGTAATTTGTTTGTTTGGTTGGTTGGTTAGTTATCTTCACCACCCTTTCCTTCTGTATGTTCATTTCAAGTGTTCTGTCTACTGAATTTTCTTTCACTTTGTCAGATTTCGCCTGCAGGTGTTCCTTTTCACGTCTAATATATATTATTATTTCCTTTAAATCCTAGAGGAACATATGGCTTCAGCTGTACATTTCCATTGCGTTCTGTTCTCTGCTAAAGTTTTCACCTGTATCCAGGTCTGCCCACATGCTTTCATCTCCTCTTCACATAACCTCCTCCAAGTCACCTCGCACTATCAACCAACTCGCCGCTTCCCTCTCGGGTCCACTCGAGGACCTGTCTTATGATGTCACTTTACGGTTTGCTCTCTGAAAGTATAGCCAATCCACCTCCATTTCTTCCTGCTTATTTCGTGCACAATAGGTTCCTCGTTGGTTTGCTCCCAAAGATCCATGTTGCTGATCTTTTCTGACCGGCCATCTGATCTTGAGTATTGAGCAAAGACAACTGTTAATCAAGTTCTGAAGTTTGTTTGAGGTGCTCTTTATGACCCACCAAGTCTATGATACGTATAGTAGCACCGACTTCACAGTGGAATTGAAAATCCGGATCTTATTTTCATTTTCATGCTGAGTAGTGTTGTTGATTTCCACACGGACTTTAGAGTATTGAAAACTTGCCTTGCATTCTCGATCCTTGTTATCGCCTGTAGTTGAAACGATGCTTCCAAGATAGGTAGGTAGAGGAGGTTGTTTCTTTCAGGTTCCTCCCATTTATTCTGGCTGATTACTGTCTGTTGCTGTTGGTGTTGACAAGGAATCTTCATCACCTCTGTTTTCTTTGTATTAACTTGGAGTCCTATCTTCCCTGGATGCTTCTTCTACCAACTTGTTGCTTTTCACTAGCATATCTTCCCGTCTGCGAGAAATCAGACATATATCATAGGCAAAGTCCAGATCCTCCAAGTTTTTCCTGTGGGTCAATTTTATGCCTGTTTCCTCGTTGATCACCCCTGTCTGTCGCATTATCCAATCTACCGCAGTCAGGAAAATCATTGGCGACAATAGGCAGCTAGCGTGCCTTACTCCTGTCTTTACCTCGAAGGACTCCGTAAGTTTCCCGTTGTGAATTACTTGGCATGCAGCATTGTCGTACAACTGTTGGATGAGATGTATGATTGTCGGCGGCACTCCGTAGTAGCGAAGTAGTTGCCAAATCACCTCTCGATCGACGCTGTCGAAGGCTTTTTCAAAGTCGATGAAGTTGAGATAGAGAGGTGACTGACTCCAATTCCAAGCTCTGAGTTTAAAGTGAAACACAAAGCTTCACTAGCACATATGCATTGCAGCCCATTGGCCAACATTGCCTCCAGCTAGCTCCACAGCTGCCTACAATGATGATTCGTAGAGTGGCGATTTGATCAATACATGACTTGTTTCTCCTGAATCCAGCTTGTTCCGGTGAAAATTTTTAATCCAGGTCGGCGTGTTTGGTTCTCTCCAGCATGATGAGGCTAAGTGTTTTGCTTGGGATGGAGAGGAGCATAATTCCGCGCGTGTTTTTACACTGACTTAAGTCTCCTTTCTTTGGTAGTTTGAATGAGTATCCTTTCTTCCAATCCTCAGGTACTTTGCCCTCTTTCCACACCTTCTCCAGCAGTGGTGTCATCAAGTCCACTGTTGTCTCTGGGTCTATTTTCAATGCTTCTGCTTGGATTCCATCTAATCCAGCTGCTTTTCCAGCTTTTAGGATCTACATGGGTAATAAACGATAAAGTGAAAAGAATCAACATAAATAGGAGGAATCTGAAATACGCAACTTCCTTTACCTATCGACCTGGGTAGCATCGTTTCATCTACAGCGGTTGTGGAATTGATGAGGATATCAAAGCGCGCAGATCAAGAAAGCAAGGCAAGCCTTCATTATTCTCAAGTCACTGTCTGAAGATCCACAGCACTAACCAGTATGAAAAATAATATCTGAATTTCCAAATCCAATGTGAAGTCAGTGCTACTCAACTAACGAAGGGCACTTTGAGCAAACCACAGACCTTCATCAATTGCTGTCTTTTCCCATACTCAATATCAGATGGTCATAAAAGATCAGCAACGTGCAGGGATCTCTGGGAACGGGCCAACCAACTCAACAGCAACTAACTCTGCAACAAATATGCAAGGGGGAATTGGAGGTGGATTGGATTGGACATTGTCTGAGAAAACAAATCCTCAAGTGAGACCAGAGACATCAGGCCATTGCTCGAGTGGAGCCAGGATAGGAAGTGGCGAGTTAGTCGGTAGTCAGTGTGAAGGTGACATAGTAGAGGAGGTGATGCGAAGAGGACATGACAGTGTATGGACAGACGTGGAGACAGGTGAAAATGCTAGCAGAGAACCGAAGGCTATGGAGACGTGTGGCTGCCTGATAGTATTTCTATTGTTGTTGGTGATACTGTTAATGCACGATTAGAACAGATTAGTCAGCAAATTTAGCTCAGTATTCGCTCATAGTCGACTAGGTCATACTTCAGGTCATAACAGGTTGCCATTTTCACAACCAACTTTCCCAATTTACCTGGTTTATTACCATCTCGTAGAGGGGTTAAGGAGTACATCAGCTGGAAACAGATCCTAGCCGCCCGCGCCGCCAAAATTATGTGAGCCTATATGCTTAGAAGAAGAATGTTCTATTGACGAACTAGAGACACAGAAAATCGCCCACACTAAACCTCATTAAACAGAACAGTAAGTAGTAAACAAACCGAAAGATGAATAACACAATTCCATTGAATAAATTAAAAATATGT